CTCATCTGCGAAGACTAATAAAGAGAGTCCCTTACTCTAAAGTCAAGTAAAGAAGAAGTAGTAAACTCCTTCCTCTCGGGCGCACTTCATTTCTAATCATTCAGTCTTATTTCCCTTGGTCCCTCAGACAGTCCCCAGCCGGTCAACGGTTGCAAGCCAATGCTTCTTAGAAAGTCAAGGCAGTCTATCCAATCAAATCAGTGCCTTTGCGAGTGTGAATGCGAGCGGGAAGTCCACTCAGTCCAAGCCCCTTTCTGGCTTTTCATAAGAATGCCAATCAGTCTGTCCAAGGAAAGAAATCCGGTCGGTGCGGGAAAGAAAGGCAGTACGGTACCACTGTCCATTCTATCCATTCATTCCTCTTAGTCCAGGCAAGCATGCCTGGGGTAGTCAAAGAGGAAGATTTTCTATCTTTTAGCAACAACCAACCTAGGTCTCTTTGAATCCGATGTCTTAGGAGAAGGAATAAGAGATGAAAGCAATGTCTCTTGTTAGCAGTCTAGTGAGCCTACGCTCATTCCAGTCAGTCCGAGCAAGTAAGAATAAATAAGGAAAGTCGCTAGGGAAGTAGGAAGTAGGCTTAGCTCTTGTGCACATCTTTTGAGGGGTTTACTTGCTTACTTCTTAGAGTAAGGTGAGAGGAGATTTTTTCATAAACCATTTCTTTCTCGATGCTTTTCGGTTTGGAACTCTGTTTTCATCCTTCTTCAAAGGAAGGAGTCATCCTCATCGAAGAGTTCGGGAGCTTCCACGACAAACTCCAAACCCCCATTGAAATATAGCCTTTCTCTTCTCTCTCTATTTCACTAAGGAAATAAGGCCTCTGTGATCCTCTCTAAAGGCTGTTCAAGGAGGCTGTGGTCAATCAATTCATTCAGCTATAAGAGCTACTTTCTTTAGGCTGCCTTGCCCATTAGCAGTACAGTCTAGCTCTATTTACCTCTTTCTAGGACGATGAAGGTATGTTGAGACTCTCCTCCAACGATGCTGTTGTGAATGCTTTTTGGACTATTGACACTATTTCCCAGCACTTCTGGTAGAAGATAGGCTGAAAACCGTCCGGCCCAGGGGGCTTTAAAGGCTCCCATGGCGAAGACTGCCTTTTTGACTTAAAGTCTGGTGAGAACTGGTCCGAGCATACCGTTAACTATGCTATAAGATGAGCCATATGCAAACCGAACGGGGGCACGCCAGCGCTCCGTCTTTCAATTGAGTTCAGTCTATCTGGACTCTGACGTCATCTGGCAGGTTCAAAAGTATCTGAGGGTAGAAAATTTATGACTCTAACCAAAAGTACAATGCACTAAAGCCGCCATGTCTTTCACATGAACAGAGCTTCCCTTCCCTTTCTTTCAAAGAAAAGCCCTACCCAGAAAGAGTAAGGTGCGAAGCCTAGCTGATCGGACCGGGCATGCCTTTCTTTTCAAGGGGCGTATGGGGGCCTGAAAGTCTTATTGCATCTATGGCATCTTCTTATGATCGGATTAACTATTCCTCAAGTGCCACAGCTTTTTCTTGAACAGCAAATGAAATACCAATTGCAGCAGATAGGCATTCAGTTAGCTTTCATCGGATACGAGAGCAGTGGATGATTTCACAATTACCCAAACTAGAGCAAGGGTAGCACCGGTTACTGATTACCTGACTGAACCACCAGGAGCTATTCTTTCGCAAAGAGCTTATTCGTGCACATGCACAAAAGCTTATTCTTGCAAAACCTATTCTCGCTTACAGAAGTACTATCCTGCTTAGGAAAGGGAATCTTTGATTGAAGGAAGGTATTCGTGTACGGGAATCAAAGTGATTAGAACAGAACTGAGCTTGCCGGCGAAGAAGCAACGGACGCTATTCGTGGACTGAGCAAGAGACAGATAGAGTTGATTAAAGCGATACAGATCGATTCGATAAGAGCTAAAACGGAAAGGAAGATTTCATTAAGACAGATGTCGCACATACTGATCACGCATAGCGAGCTGAAGGCCTAATTGCTCCTATTCGATCGTTTACTAAAGAGAAATTCCCGATAAACGAAAGGCATGGGACCGCCGCTTTCTTGATCTACTTTAGGACTAGCGAAGATAGAATCAAAGACGAGAAAGGCGACTCTCTGCCCTCCTACTAGCCCTCGAGTTCAAGCATGTGACCTCGACATTGAACTTGGTGTACTTAGCCTACTTTCTCTTTACCCGACGGGATTCAGAAAGCAGGAAGTCCACTTTCTTTGGATAGACAGGGAATCGAACCCTGCATTAGAGACCTATCTCTCTATCTCTAATTAGACGACTACTTTGGGTTCTTTAACTACGTAATTAAGATAAGAAAGGCCAGGGATGAGAACCTTCCTTCTCGCTTCCATGGGAAAGTCAAAGTAGAGGACCGTCCTTCTATCTCAAATAAGAGAACGGATTCAATCCGATCCCTATCTTACTACTGATTGCCCTCTTGCGGACAAGAGTTTAGACTCCATCTCTGATCAGAAAGAGATAACTATCAAGACGTGAGAAGAAAGACCCCGATCCCTTGTAGGACTTGTGATCAGTCCGCTAACAGGCGTGGCAAGGACGGACGAGAAGAGCTTTCTTATTTAAGAGTCTGACCTTATTTAATATTAGGTTCTGCTTGCCCAAGGAGAAGGAGCATCAGCAACCCAACCGTTTTTAGAGGATCTCTTCCCTCTGGGCTTGCAGTAGCAGTTAAGAGGGTTAATAGGTCCAGCGAGATTGAATATTCGCGGCGCAATCCTTTTACCACTGAGTTTGCGACAGTGGTTGGTCACTTGCGGCACAAGAATTTGGTTCAGCTTCGACGGGTGATGCTGTGAGGGATCCGAGTTGGTCTTGGTCTATGAGTACCTGCCCAATGGAAGCCTCGACAAAATCCTCCACAAGAATTCCAGTTCTCCGAGTTGCCTCACGTGGAAGCGAAGTAAGTAGGAGCATAGTTCTTGGAGTTCTGCTCTTACTTATCTGCATGAAGAGTGCGAGAGAATAATTCATAGAGACGTGATGCAATATAATGCTGGATGCAGACTTTACTGCCAAGCTTGGCTTGGGGATTTTGGTCTGGCAGAAGTTTACGAGCATAGTTCCAACACAAGAGAGGTAACTATACCGCCGGCTGGAAGGATGGGATATCTTGCTCCTGAATATGTATACTCTGCCGTCCCCACGGAGAAAACTTATGTTTACAGCTTTGGTGTTGTGGTGCTAGAGGTGGCCACGGGAAGAAGGCCAGTCGATGATGATGGAACTGTGGTTGTTGATTGGGTCTGGGACCTCCGGGAGAAGGGCAAAAAGAGGCCGCGGATGCTGAAAGACCGGATTCTATACCAGCGGATTCGAGAGCAGCGGAGTGGCCTTCTCCTACTCCTTGCCTTCCTTCTTCCCCATGTTGATTCTAAACCGTCGCCTTCCCCAGCTTGTTCTCTGTCCGCCCTATTCTGGCTAACAGCCTATTTGTACTAACAGGACCAGGACAGCTCCTTCTGGGCATCTTCCTTCTACTATTGATGAAAACAACCTATTCTTGCCTTGCAGCTTATTCTTTCAAACAAACGATTCTATCCACTGTTAACCTAAGGACAGCATATACATTGGGTCATTCGGTCACTACCTCGATCATAATCATAGTTTGCTATCTTCGGGAAGATAGCAAGCGGAAGAACAATTAGGCGGTGTGTCACCCTCCTGAGCGGTATGGTATGAAGCCCGTAGACAATGGCTTTAGGGAGATGCTTTGATTTAAGACAAGACAGTGAACTAGCTGGCTTTAGAAAAAAAAAACCTTTCTTAGTAGATAACGACCTCGCACTTTCATTGATCTGATAGTGATTAAGGAGGAGTTGAACCTCCATAGCGTTGGAACTAGAGACCTACTAATCTTTTCCACCCCTTTCTTTGAACCTTGTCAATGATCGAACTTAAAGATATGAACTGAGTGCCATTTGATGAGTAACTGAGAACAAGGGAGAGGGATATAGAAAGGATGAAGTAATGAAAGAAGAAGTCATTGCTAGTAGTAACGACTTGTTACGATCCATTGGTTCATATAGAATCCATGTCCTAGGTGTATCAAAAAACATTCTTTTCGCTAAGCGTATATAATAAAATAGAGTGAAAGAGTCCACCCTGAAACCAAGGGGGTACTAACTAACAGCTGAGTCCTCTCCGAACCGCAGGAGATAGTTGCCCATCATACGGCTCACCAACTTCACTTGCCTCTATGGGAGGCTCGCTCCGGGCAAGTTCGGATCACTTACAATACACAGCTCTACGAAGGAAGGGGTTGGGTTAGGAACGTTTTCAATATGATTTTTTTCCAGAAATGCGAGACGAAAAAGGTAACGTAGTGACTTTCTTATTCCCGTGTTCGATCTCTTCCATCTCTGCCTCGCTCCTTTTCACCTATGTTGAAGAAAGGTTTTCCACCCTGTAGAGAATGAAGAGGACGAGCAGCCTCTCAACATCTCGAGGCTCCACTCTCCCCCCTGAATAAGTGACGGCCTCCTTAGCCTGGGCGAAGATGGGGATAAGGAATAAGGATTGAAGCCCCTTAGCTCTGCCAGGCACTGGACAAGGGTTAGCTCTGTAAATGTGTAGAGCCAAGTGTGGTGTAGTAGTAGGCACTTCTAGGCCCCTTCCCGGCTACTGGATCACTCCAGTGCTTTGGGTACTACGGACCCTCTGCCATCCATTGCAGCAGAGCTGTTTCATGAGCGGGGGGGGCGGAGCGCAGTTCTTTGAATCAAACGTTGTTGAATGAAATCGATTCTTTTTTAGATATCAAAATGGAAATCGGATAGGATAGATGGATCTATCTTTCTATTCATATATATTACTAAAAAAAAATTGAATTTATATAATTAAGTAGCGTAGCAAGAAGCCCCAAATCCTTGATTTGACCAGGAAAGACTGCACTGCTTTGGGCCCAGGAAGCGAAGGGAATGAGCTCGGCTGCTTCTCCTCCACACTTCTTTTTCTCCGTGCCCGTTCCGCATGCGCTTCGCGCGCCATTGGCGCTTTGTTCTCCTCTTATTCTTCATTGGACGGTTCAGATGGACTTCGCCGTTCTTTCCCAACTAAAAAAAAAAAAAAAGGTATTGTCAAATCGAGATGTCGATTCGTTTTCCGCCCCCAATGAGATGGGGAATTCATAACCCCCTATCACGACTTTTGGGCCCTTCACCTTTCTGAATCGAGGCCCGGCTCGCGTCGTTCCAACAACCGGCGGGGAGCACCTCAGTATACGATCGCGCGCAGTAACTGGGAGTCCTATTACACCTAAGGCCAACTTCAATTCACCAAACCGACGGTTCATCTCGTGTAGTGATTGTGGACTCGTACAAGGATATTGAGTAGACGGTTGATGTATCAGACTCGACCCTATCTTTCGTAGCATGCATTCCCATCCGTGTCGCAACTGATTCGGTAAGCTACGTGTCCGGTGCACGGAGAACTGCCTTCGGTCCCCCAAACTGACTTACTCGTGGCAACCTTCCGGCCGCCCAACGACCTATAACGCTAGTCACTACTCCCACTGGGGCTAGGAAGTAAGCCCCACAACCCAAAGCGGCGAAGAACAAATAGAATTTGCTACAAAAGCCGGCTAACGGGGGTATTCCTGCGTATGAGAACATAGTAATGGAGAAGGTAATAGCCGAAATAGGATTCGTTTTGGCTAGAGCGCCCAAATCCGCTATATATTTGACACGGGTTTGCCGTAATGCTGAAACTATGGCGAATGCATCTATCGTCATTAATGCATAAATAAAGATACCAATTAGTAGTGATTGAATTCCTTCTATGGTTCCACATGAGAAACCAGTACGAATATAACCTACATGTCCAATTGAACTATGAGCTAGAGGTCTTTTGACTTTCGTTTGGGCCATGGCGGCCAGTGCTCCTAAGATCATAGAAGCAATGCTGCAGAAAAAGAAGATTTGTTGCAATGTAGCTCCATAGGAACCATAAATAGAAACACGTGAAATATTAGCAGAAATAGAGATTTTAGGCGCAATAGAAAGGAATGCTGTAACCGGGGTGGGTGAACCCTCATAGATATCAGGTGCCCACATATATAGAGTCAAAAGAAAGAGGGAGTCCGAAGGGGAGGGGGGTTTGATTCGGGGCTCGAGAGATGGAATAGATAGGGCCCCACAAGTTTTGAATTCGCCGCTGGGGAATTCACACGAAAGGGAACGAGGAATTTTCAACGAAAAAAGTGCTCTCTGAACCGAACGTGAAAGTCGTTTTCCATCAGACGGCTGTTCCCGTAACTCCACTCTCGACTTGGATTATATATCCAAAAAGGTCCGCTCTCGGCCATTCCACACGCTGCCTAGAAGAGGCGTGGTTATCTGAAGTGGATTCTCTCTTTTCTAGTCGATGCCGAACCTGCTGCCCCATTGACTAAGAAGGGGGCGGGCAGCTACATGGACCCCTTCCTTTCTGTTGTTGCCAGCGCTTTCCCGGGCCGAGCCGGAATTCTTTATTCTAATTTGAAGGGGCAGGCAAAGCCCGAAGGCTGCTATCCCAATAGGCCAGCGGGCGGAACGAGGAGAGGGTCCGGATACCACCGCGGTCGAAAAAGCCCTTCAGATAACACGCACCGTAGACCATCCTCGGTCTTCTTCGTTTTCGATGAAAAACAAATAAAATCTCGATCCCCGCAAGTGTTTTCCTTCCCCCGCCTCCCCTCCTTCGTCGAGCCTTTCCTTTAATGGTTGGGAAAAGCATTCCCTTATCTGAACTTTACTCTTTCCAGCCTTATTCAAATAAAAAGAAATAGGGGGGTGGGTCATAACATAGGCTTCAAACATGATTTGAAGGTCCATGCGAAAAATACAAAATCTGGAAAGCTGCAGGAAAAGGTTTTCCTGTGTTGCACTGAAAAAAGAAGGACCTAAGAGAATCTTCTCTTAGGCCTCCCGCGCCCGCCGCCGCCCGGCCCAGGGGGCAAAGCGAGAAAAGACAGAGGGAGGGAGAGCAGCATCTTATTCTTTTCGCGAGAACTCCACTTCCAGATCAGAAAAGCATTCGGAACGGGCTCCGCGCACCAAAGGCCTACCAAAGGTAGGCCGAGCTCTTTGATATTCTTTCGGGCGACGAAAGGCTACTTCAATCTAGGAAACAGCCGGAAACTCGAAGGGGTCGCCTTTGGAAGCGTTCGCCGGTAACCAAAGCTTCACTCCTTCCTTTTGATTATGTCGTAACGCTGACTGAATCCAATCCATAAACCCGGAAACGAAACAAAGTTCGTTCCCTTTCGTCAAGTAGGTAAAGTAGGCAACCACTTTTGCTTTGCCTTAGACTCTATTGGAACAAAGCAAAGAAAGAGGCGGAATGGAGAAAGGAAAGGGGCAAGAGCGGTCTTGCTTGGCGCGAAGGCTGCTGGTTCGGGGGCAGGGTACGGTACTAAAGGTCCTCGGACTTCCAGGCGGTCTTTCTTTTGGGCAGCTGTTCACCGTTGGATCTCGCCAATACAGCCCCCTATAGTTTT